CAGAAGAGCGCCCCCAGGAGAAACAAGCTTGACCACTATACCATCATCAAATTTCCCCTGACCACTGAGTCAGCCATGAAGAAGATAGAAGATAACAACACACTTGTGTTCATTGTGGATGTCAAGGCCAACAAGCACCAAATCAAACAAGCTGTAAAGAAGCTCTATGACATTGATGTGGTCAAAATCAACACCTTGATTAGGCCTGATGGTGAGAAGGAGGCCTATGTTTGACTTGCTCCTGACTATGATGCTTTGGACGTTGCAAATAAAATTGGGATCATCTAAACTGAGTCCAGCTGGCTAATTCGAAATACAAATTTCTCTCTCTCTGTCTCTCTGTCTGTCTGTCTCTCTCTCCTTTTCTTTTTTCCCCTCCCCTTGTTGTATACTGTAGAATTGGACCCAACTGGTACAGGAGGAGATTGCCCCTACCTTCTCCAGCAGAGCATCTGGTAGATTCGAACCGTGGTCCTTTGGGATTGCAGCACAGCTTTTTGCCACTAGGCCACCGAGCTCCTTCCCAAGATGATTTTTAAGCCCCTTAGATAATTCAAACATGCATGGAAAAGGTTGATAACAGCTGCCCTTAAATTTCTTTCAGCACAAAGTAGTCCCGTGAGGAAATGGAGAGCACAGGATTCCAGCATCTCAGATCCTCTGCCGTGCCGAGGAATGAGATGGTGTGCACCCGCCATAAGCATTCTTTCTCAGAGACTTGAGAAGAGGGCTTAGATTTCTTTGGAAAGCCTTTGCTCTGAATTATTTGGGCATCTTATTTCCTTTGAAAATTTCTCAGTGACCAGTAGGATCCAGAGCTGCCCTGGGAAGGAACTGCCCTGCGCTGACTACCTTGAAGCTGGTGGTGATGGAGGCATATTTGTTGTCTGCCGTCTCTGAATTCCCGATCAAGTAGTCCCAGCTGGTGAACATCTTGAAGCTGAATGTGAAGTTCTCATTCTCCCCCTCGCTTGTGCTTCCTTGGGTATTGCTGGCCATCCTGTAAGGCACACATCACTGAGATTATAATTACCCTGTGGTCCTGTTAAAGGATGGGCCCTGATGTACAGGTCTGTGCAGGAGATGGTGCCTCTTGACCCCCAGCCATGGCTGACTGGAGCCACTTAGAAGAAGGCAGTTCATGGACTGGGCCAAATACTTCCTTCAGAGGCTATGAATTAAGAGACACAGGTAAATAGACAATTCCTGCTCAGAGACACAGAATTGGGGCCACCAAAGGTGCCATGGTTAATCACAGTCACGTGTATGCATTTGGCACTAATTGACTATTTCTACTCTATGTGAGGAATTTCTGAGTGGTGTGAAGAGTTTATATACTTAGCTGTTAATTGAAAGACTGTAGTTTGACCCCACCTAGAGGCAACTTGAAAGAAAGACCTTAAAAAAAATTAGCCTTTGGAAACTATGGAACAAATCTCTACTCAGATGGTGTCACCTTGAGTCAGCATTAACTCACTAGCAACTGATTTAGTTACTTCTATGTGTGCTAGGCTTGGTTCTAACATGCAAGCTAGAGCTACAGAGGAGCACAAGAGTGCTTCTGAGGAAGCTGAGTTCAAGAAAGAAGCAAAAATAAGTTTGGCAAACCTGTCTAGTCTTCCCAGGAACCGAGCTCAAACCTCAAACCTCATAGACCTATTGAGAGTTTCTAGAACTAAGATAATTGCTGCCTCAGAACCTTTGCACATGTTCATCCTCTGTCTAAAATGTTCAGCACAGACTTTCAGTATGGCTGGGGGCTCCTAGTCTCTATTTCACGTGAAGAAATTTCAACCACATTTTCTAGAACTTATTCTTTCTACTGTTTCTGTTTTCCTTGTCACAACACAATTGGTACTGGCCTCATTTGTTTGTTTCCTTATTGTGCGGGCTGTCTGTGTGAAAGAGAAAAGCCTGGGAGTGAGGCAGTTATACTTACGACCTAATGACGATCATCAGGCTGTAACCAAACACGCTGACCCCCACCATGAAGTAAGCCATCGGCAACCGGTACCTCAGCCACCCGATGGTTCTCTGATTGTTGTAGTAGCCGTAGAAGAGAGCAGAGTACTTGATGTAGCCCTGCGGGACAGCAAGCCCATGAGTTCTGGGTTTATAAGCGCAATGCAGACAGTCATCAGACACCTCATTTCTACCAAGAGTTCTTTCTCAGGTTTTTAATGGAAGTCTGAAGGGGCAAAGGGAGGAATTTGGAAGTCCTCATTCTTTCTCTTACTTCTCCTTGTTGCTCCCAGATTCATTTATGTCTCCCCCTCTTTCTTTTCTTCATTTCTTTGATTTCCCCATCACAGAGTATGTAGAAATACAGCTGAGAGGGAAGAGTACTGTTAATATGAGGGTAAAATTGGGAATAAAACGTGTGTGTGTGGGGGGAGGTCTGAGAGAGGGGGTGTGTGTGCGAGCGGGTTTGTGTGTGTGTGAGTGTGTGTGTGCGTGTGTGAGTGAGTCCGTGTGTGTGCCCACAGTCAAGAGGACGCACACATAGTTCCCAATTCTTTTTGCCCATTCCCAGCGTCTTTGTTTCGTATTCAGGATATATGGGAGTCTGTGAGCTTTCTCAGTATTTCAAAACTTTAAGGAATAGGAAACATAATGAGGCTTACAGTCTATACTCCAACTTTCTAGTTTTATTTTTGTCTTTTAGATGTTACTGGATTTAAGGTAATTAGATACACTTTTTTTAGAAGGAATTATTTAGGTGTAATTAGTTTAAGATATTTGCAATATTAGTTTAAAAGTAATACTAAAATACTAGCCTAAGATTTTAGCAATTTCTTATTTGTGTAAAACAGAGAATTAATTATTCTTAAAGAAATCCCATTTGTTTTGGGTAGACAGAATGTTTCAACTAGAATCTTGGGTGAAATAAAAAAACCAAAGGAAATTATTTATAGTAGTATTGTTGTAGAGGGTGAAACCAAGTTTTTCCTTGAAAGCTAGGATTTTGAAGCTTTGTCTCACATACAACTGGGCATGTGGTCAGGAGGGGCTAGTCCTTGGAGAAGGACATCATGCTCAGAAGGGTGAAGGGACAGAACAGGAGAAGAAGACCCTGGGTGACATAGGTTGATACAGTGACTGGGGGAATGGAGGTATGTGGGTCAGAGTCAGTGAGACTGGCTTAGGACAGGGCAGGCTTCAGAGCTGTTGTATGTAGGGTTGCTATGAGTCGCAGGTGACTTGACAACAGCAACAACCACCACAGTATTGCTGGACGCTGCTGTTCTAAATAATTGAGGATTCCAAATAATACTCCAGCTCACTTTCACACATTTCTGAGATGCTCAAAGTGTGACTATGAGACCAAAGAAAGGATGGTGACATTGCTGTGAAACATCAATGCCTTCCAGGTGCCTCGAGCTGCCAAATCAAACTCCCAGAGACATGGAGTTACGATAGCCCAGAAAAGAGAAGGTATTCCAGATAGATGAAGTTTCAGAGTGCTGCAAACATCTAAGTGCTGGACTACTAGTGGAGAAAGTTGGCAGTTGGAACCCATACTGAGATGCTTCAGACGACAGGTCTAGGGAATTGAAGCTTCTTGAAAGCCCTTATGGGAACAGTGCAACAATGAATGAATGAGAACCCAAAATCTCTGTAAATGTTCATTAAAACTATTAACATTTAATAATAATTAAAAAAAGAATGAAAATAAATAAAAAAAGAAAGCCTGTATGGGGCTGTTCAACTTTGAAACACAGGAAATGGACATGGGGGGGAACCAATTTGTTGACAACCGCCTACAATATTCCAGACAAGGGACCGTGAGCAAAGGCTGAGAGGCAGAACAAGAAAGTGATGCATTCAGAGACTCCCTAAAAGGTGATGATACTGGAACACAAGGTATGGAGCATTAGGGAGGAATGGGGCCAGAGAGATAGGGAATAAATAGCCGGCTCAGGAACAGTCCTTTTGGAAATCCCTTTCAGAGCCCTGCATTTTATGCCAGCTAGTGTTTGAGCTATCAATAAACATTGCAACAGGGAACTAACAGAGTCTATCTAGAGGTGAAAGGTTGCATTCTAGAAAGAGCCTCTTTCAGCAGAAGGAACGGAGGTTTTAAAAACCAAGCCGAGGCATTATTGGAAGCAGAGGTGAGAAGAATGCGGGAAGGACTTATCCAAGAACTGAGCTGTTTGGTTTTGATTTAGTGATTGATTAGATGTGGTGGCGGGAGGAGAGCGCTGAAGAAGAGATTCAGACTTCAGACATGAATCACTGGATGCATGTAATAAATGAGAAAGGGAAAACAGAGGAGTGGGTTCTGATTGGATGGTGTTGGGTTTGGGCAACTGAAGGACATTCAGTGTAAGAAGTTACTCAAAACTAGATCAACAACTGGAGCAGAGTTAGACTTGATGTTTTATTTATTTTTTTCTTTTAGATTTGATATTTCAATGTGAATGTGAGGAAACAAAATCATACTTAAGATTGTTTTAAGTAGAACTGTTGAATGAGAGCAACCTTAGCCTTGTGGCTGTGGCTGGAGACAGAAATCCATAAAGGAGAGTTGGGAGGGCTGTTAAGAGATGTTGTGTTCCGTGGAGTCTGAACTGACCCATACTCGACCCTTCGGTGGGTTTTCCAAGGCAATAATCATACGGAAGGAGATTACCCATCCTTCTCTGGCAGAGCAGCTGGTGGCCTCAAACCTCGTGCCTTTGGGATTGCAGTGCAACTTCTTGCCACTAGGCCACCAGAGCTCCCTTGTTAAGAGATACGGTTTGCTAATTCATGATTTGCCAGTTCATTTTGCATAGTGTAAAGATTCCATTTAATTAAAGCACTGATATTTCAAGAAGGCAATGCAATACTCAGCCATGCAGTCCTTAGGCCTCACAATCTCAAATATGGATGTGCACTGGCATGATGGGAATGATACCTCAAAATCCCAAAGGACAGAGAAGTCCATGGCTTTTTCTTCCTCAGCCCGAGGCACCGTCTTTCTGGGTATACTTCCATAGGGCACGCCCATCAGTACCTTGAGTAGCGACAAAGTGACGAAAAATTTAAGTAGAGAAAAGACAAACACACAGAGATATTTACACCCTGGGTTAAAGAATTTCCTTCTTAGATTAAGGCATGACATTTTCAACTTAAACAACAGTCAAGCCTTTATGAATTTAAAAGTCACATCCATTCATTGCGGAGAATGTGAAAAAGTGTAGAATATTTTAAAATATTATTTAGTATCTTACATCACAAAGATAATGACTGTTAAAGATTTATATAGTTCCTTTCATTTATATGTATATGTATATGTATATGTATATGTATATGTATATGTATATGTATATGTATATGTATATCTATGTCTATATGTGTATCTATATGTATATTTCAAATATATATATTTGTTGTTGTTACGTGTTATCAAGTCGAGCATGAATAAGAGATCTGAACCTCTGAACCCTGTTCTATAACTATGGCCATTTCTCCAAGTTCAAAGAATTCCCAAAGGCATGTTGTTTAGGAAGTAGACGCCAATCCTGCTTCCAAGCCTGTCTTAATCTGGGAGCCCCACCAAACACTATCCACCATGGGTAACCATTTTGGCATTTGACACGCCAGTGGCCCAGTGTTCAGCATCACAGCAACCCCAAGTGACCTCAGTACAGCAAATTGGCAGACCAGTGCTGTACCGCTTAGAAGAATGTTCTTATTAAACACAATTAACATCATGCCCAAGGGATGCAGGCCAGAAGGACCAACCAACTTTTAAATGCAAAGGCCTGCCCATTAGATCCTGATTGACTTAAACAAAATATGTAATAAAAGAAATATATTAGACTAGGGATGATAGAGAATTGATGCCTTTGAGCTGTGGTGCTGGAGAAGAGTAATGAATATACCATGGACTGCTAGAAAAACAAACAGATTCATCCTAGAGAGGGTAAAACCAGGCTGCTCCTTGACAGCAAGGATTCTGAGGCTTCATCTGACATAACTTTGGGCATGTTGCAAGGAGGGACCAGTCCTTGGAGAGGGACAGAGAAAAAGAGGAAGACTCTTGATGAGATGGATTGATTGATTCAGTGACTGGGGTAATGAGGGTAAGTGTGTCAGAGACAGTAAAGTTACACAGAACAGAGCAGGTTTCAGGGCTATTGTACATAGGGTCACTGGGAATAGCAAGCGACTTGATGGCACATAACAACAACACATGTTAGTCTAGCTGTTTAGCATAGTGATATTTAATTAGGGAGCTCTGGTGGCTGTTGTACACAGGGTCACTATGAGCTCATCACAGGTAACTCAGCGGCATATAACAATATCTGGTGGCCTACTGGTAAGAATCTGTGCTGCAATCCCAAATGCACGTGGTTTGAATCTGCCAGCTGCTCCATGGGAGAGGATGAATCATCTCCTCTCGTGTGATTATTACCTCTGAAAACCCACTGGAAGGTCAGCTATGGGTCACGGCACTCACAATAGTTTATTATCCGTTGTTCATGTCATTCAGTACAGGCAGTCTCTGGTTACAGTGTCCCAGTTCTTTAAGGAGGATGCCTCATTTGCTTTGTGTTTCTTTTTTCTTTTTTCAGTTTCCATTACTATTGCCTTTTGTTAGTGGTTTCTTTATAAATCCAAGTTTTGACTTTGTGGGTTGGAAATATTATATATAAATTTAGAGATATACAGATAATTTTTTTCATGTTAAATGGGTAATGTGCTGACGTCCTAACAAGGTTTACATAACGAAGGTGGCACATGTCATACAAAAGCATGAATACTCAATCTTGACGCTCATGAACCAGAAAACGATCAGCCTGATACATTTTAATATATACGTACAACCTATGTTATGCAGATGACACAACCCTGCTTACTGAAACTGAGGAGGACCTGAAGTGCTTGCTGCAGAGGGTCAAGGACTGCAGCCTTCAATATGGGTTGAAGCTCAGCTTCAAGAAGAAAAAGATTCTTGCCACTGGGTCGATTGACAGCACCATGATAGATAGGGAAGAGATTGAGGTTGTTAACAATTTCAGCTTGCTCAGCTCCACAATCAACATTCTCGGCACCAGCAATCAGGAAATCAAAAGATGAATCACATTGGGAAAATCTGCTGTCAGGGACCTCTTCAGAGTACTAAAAAGCAATGATGTCACTCTAGAGACTAAGGTGCACCTTGGTCAGGCCATGGTCTTTTCCATTAATTATTATGCATCCAAGAGCTGGACAATGACTAAGGATGACAAACATATTGATGCCTTTGAATTGTGGTTGAGTGCTGGAGAAGAGTCTTGAACATAGAATGGACTGTCAAGAAAACAAATAGGTCTGTCTTGGACAGGGTGAAAACAAGTGTCTCCTTGGAGGTGAGGATTCTGAAGCTCCACTTCACATACTTTGAGCACATCTGTTGTTGTTAGGTGCCATCGAGTCAAGCATGACTCATAGTGACCCCATGAACAAAAGATCTGAACCCTGTTCTATCCTGTGTCATCTTCACACTTCCCGACACATGAGCTCATTGCAGCAGTCACTGTATCAATGCACCCGGTGGACGGTCTTCTTCTCCTTCGCAGACCCTTCACCCTTTCCAACATCATGTACTTCTCCAAGGAGTAGCACCTCTTAGCCACATGTCCAAAGTATGTGAGGCAAAGCCTCATCATTCTTGCCTCCAAAGTGCACTCTGGCTGCACCATTTCCAAAACATATCTGTTCATTCTCCTGGCTGTCCATAGGATTTTCAGTGCTCTTCTCCAACACCAGCTCAAAGGCGTCAATTCTTTTTCTGACATCCTTATTTATAGTCCGGATTACTAATTGGAAAGACTATGGCCTAAATCAGACACATCTTAGTCCTCAAACTGAGATAACTACTTAATAATTTTAAAAGGTCCCTAACTGCAGATTTTCCCAGTTGCAATGCATCTCCTTATCTCCTGACTGCTTATATCAAGGTTGTTAATTGTGAATCCAAGCAAGATGAAGCAATTGACAGTTTCAATCTCCTCTCCATCCATCATGATGCCGACTATTGGTCCAGTTTTAAGAATCTTTGTTTTCTTGAGATTGAAATACAATGCATACTGAAGGCTGCATTCCTTGATCTTCTGCAACCAGTGCTTCAAGTCCTCCTCACTGCCAGCAAATAAAGTTGTGTCATCTGCATAATGCAGGTCATTGGTGAGTCTCCCACCAATCCTGATGCCACATTCCTCTTCATAGGGTCCAACTTCTCAGATAATTTGTTCAGCATATAGATTGAACAGTATGGAGAGAGAATACAGTCCTCCCTTCCCAATTCCAATCAGGCATGATATCTTTCTCTAGGAAATAATTCCTCAGGAAAGCATGTCCAATGTGTGTGTGAGTAATTATCATATCCTTGCTTCTAAGGATGTTTCTGACTGTGTTGCTTCCAAAAACCATTTGTTCTGGAAATTTACAGTATATACAACATTCTTTGCCAACACCATAGTTCAAATACATTGATTCTTCTTCAGTCTTCATTGTCCACTTTTTGCATGCTTGTGTTGCTGTGGACTATGAAGTCAGAACCAAGCCATAGCTGACCCATTAGAGGTTTACCAAAGCTTTAAATGACACATGAAGAGACCCATCTTTCTCATCCAGATCAGCTAGTGGCTTTGTATTTAGGGTTGGCGCTTTCTTAACACTAAACCACCATTATATGCATATGAAATTAAAACTACCATGGCCTGGGTCAGGTGCACCTTAGTCTTTAAAGTGAAATCTTTGCTTTTCAACACGTTCAAGAACTCTTTTGTAATAGATTTGTCTGGTACAATAGATTGTTTAATTTCTTGACAGCTACTTTCAAAATGCTGAAGACTAAAAGCCTCTGATTCAGACTATGATGATCTCAATCAGCAGCTACACATCGGAGAGCTGAACAACGAAGAAGGATGATAGAAAAATTGATGATGTCTTTGAGTTGTGGTGCTGGAGAAGAAGACTGAATATCCCACAGACTGCCAAAAGAACACATAGATATGTCTTGAAGAAAGTGCAGCCAGAGTGCTCCTTGGAGGCAAAGGTGATAAAGCTTCATCTCACATACTCTGAACACGCAAATAGGCAAGGCTATTCCCTGGAAAGGGACATCATGCTTGGAAAGATGAAGGGTCAGCAAAGTAGACGAAGACCCCCAACAAGATGGACTGACATGGTGACTTCAGCAATGGGCTTTAGTGCGTCGGAGATAATGAGGATGGCACAGGATAGGGCGAGGTGCAGATCAGCTTTTCACAGGGTTGCTATGAGTTGAACTTGACTGAACAGTATCTAACAATAACAACGAAAATGAATTCTTTGACATTTTCTATCTTTATTCATCATAATGTTGCTTATTGGTCTAATTGTAAGGATTTTTGGTTTCTTTAGGTTAAATGTAACCTATACTGAACGTTCTAGTCTTCAAACTTAATTAATGAATGCTTCAAGTCATCTTCACTTTGCTAAAAGTGAAGGTTGTGTCATCTGCATAGCACAGGTTGTTAATGAGTCTTGGGGGGAAAAACCCCAACTGTGTTGCTGAATGCTATTATAATGCACTGTTGTTGTTATGTGCTGTCGAGTCGTTTGTGACTCATAGCAACCCTATGTACAATAACCCTAAACCGTGCTCTATCCTGTGCCAATCTCATTGCCTCTGACACACCCATCCCGAGTACCCCAGTCACTGAATCAATCCACCTCATAGAGGGTCTTGCCCTCCTGCGCTGTCCCTCTACTCTACCCAGCATGATGTCCCTCTCTAAAGACCTGTCTCTCCTTACAACATGGTTTTTATAATGCACTAGAATGCTATTATAATGCTTCTGACTCAATTGACATCACAGAGCTTTTCATGTAAGATTCTCAAGAAAAGTGACTAAAGAGAAAATTACTCCAGTATGCTCTTTTTATGATAAAATAAGACTCATTAATTTATCATAGATTTTTAAAAAAATGTGGAAAGAGGACAATACATAAACATCTGGCTACTTTGAAATCTGTTGAATTAAATCCGCTTGTGTGCCTATTACCAGCACAAAATACTTCAGATGAGACTGTTGCAGTTACTGTGCTCAATGCTTGCTGAATCTCAGGATTTCTTGGCAAAGATGTCAGGCAGGCACTCTGACAGCACAGGATCTCAGTCACTACAAACTGACTGAGGTTGTTTATAACTTAGCTACTCATCTGCGGATCTGTCAATATTTGTCAGATTATATCAGGGAGGTTAGTGAGTAACATGAATCACATGCAAGGGTCTTTTGGTGACAACTTATAATGTAGTATACTCCTGACTTTTCCTTTATAAATGATAAATGCATCCATATCTTTGCTGTTGTGACTAATGCAGCAATAAACATGGGTGTGCACATATCTGTTTGAGTTATGGCTCTGGTTTCTTTAGGGTCTATTCCCAGTAGTGGAATTGCTGAGTCAAATGGTATTTCTATTTCCAGCTTTTTGAGAAAGTGCCAGATCACCTTCCATAGTGGTTATCAACAAATAAATGGATGGAAAGCTATGGTACATTCACACAATGGGCTATTACACAGCATTGGAAGATAATGAACTCATAAAATATCACACAACATGAGGGAAGACATTATACTGACTGAAATATCTCAGCCACTAAAGTTCAAATACTGTATAAAACTGGTGTTATAAAATAGGACCGACATGGGGGTTTGGGGGCAGAATAGCAAAAGAGGGAATGAATAATAAACGCTGCATTGGACTAGATGAGGGGGAAAAACTGAAAGGAATATATGATTAGATGTTATATGTATGACAACAATCTGGAACAAGAAGTGCATTGCAAAGTGGACTGTGGGTGGGAGTAAGAGGGTGGAGGGAAGATAATGTACAAAAATGAATGAATTAAAAGGTTAAAACAAAAAACAATGAAAATGTATCTCTCTTATGCACGCACACACACACGTTAATTCTCAACTCACCTTAATGTTCATAATAAAAGGTGAAAAATGTGAGACCCACCTCTTAATTCTGAAGCACTAATATTTAGTCCCCATTTATATATTGATCTTTGTGGACAACGATATGGGACTAGCAATTTAAATGAGCAACTACTACTACCAAGAGAGTCCTTGGTTAATGTAAACGGAGACGTGGCACGATGTGTGTCAGCACCACAAAGATGCCAGAAGTCATTTTCTTACCTCTGGAATTATGACTAGACCAAATATCAAGCCAAAAAGGACAAGGTTAACTCCATACATCCACCGGAGGAAGATGAAATATGATGCCACTGAAGAGCCAAAGTGACCTGAAGACAGAAGTGATGGTGGGCATTGAGTACCACAGGAGGGCATCAATGTTCACTATTTTATGTGAGTTATAGATTTCATATTCACATCAGTTTGTGCAACCAATATCCTGATCTCCCTTTCTTCTCTAAAGTAAATAATCCAAAGAAATCAGACATTTAAGAAGCAGAATTTAAATCTTGGTTTGATTGATTAAAAGCCAAATTTTATTCCAGTATAACACACCCTACAAAGGAATCTACTCATAAGGGCAAGAGCTGCTTAGAAAACTCATTCATTAGTAAATTGAAGGACAAATAGTGATGCCAGAATACTCACTTTCAATGTCCTTGATCTTCATCTCCCATGGAATGCACTGAGTCTTCAAATTAGCAAAATCTCTCTTAAATTTGACCCATTTCTGAAATAAAACAGGCAACATCCCCAGGACATTAACACACCGACTTGGGACCTGGAGAGGCCAGTTGATGTTGGCAGTTCAACATCAGTTTGACTTGAGGGCAGGTAATCACCTTGGAGTTTCTGTCTCCTGAGGCCTCTGCAGCAGAGGTAGAGGTTGACAGAGAAGCCATGCAATGTTTTGTACTTTTCTGCAGTGTTTATGAAATGTCAAGTTTATACCATTTATAATTTTCAAAGTATGAACTTAGAAATGCTGGATATATGATTTCTGGGTTAAAGGGTCAAATTGGATTCAAAACCTCTGATACAACTTTCTTGATCTTAAGAGAAATATTCAAAGGAAAAGAAAGAAACAAACCCAAGACTTTATATCCAAATTAGGCAGAGAGCCAAATGTCTAGTATGCTAGGAATTGTTGCTAGGCTACAATGCTAGCAGAACTAATAATGATACCGCATCCATGTCTGTCCACTCTTCCCCTGATAAAGCAGAAATCCACTTTCCTTAAGGGAAGCGAGGAGGCCTTTCACCTACTTCCATGATCTGTTTCTCAGGCCCAACACCCAGCAATCTGAGGAGCAGTCAGGCTTTTGACTTGGCATTGTTTTATCAAGTCTCCAAAGGACTGAAATCCACCAACCTGAACCCCTGATGATAAAATCGTTTGAAAATAAAGACAAAACAAGCAAGCACTTGCAGAAAACAGCCTACCAAGAAGTAATCTCTCTCTGTCTCTCTCATTTATTGCCATGGAGTTGGAACAGCCTCATGAATGACCCTCCATTACATTTCCAAAGGAGAGTTGATGCCTTTGAACTGTGGTGCTGGAGAAGAGAATTGGATCTATCATGGACTGCTAGAAAAACAAACAAGTTCGTCCTGGAGAGGGTGAAGCCAGGCTGTTTCTTGGAGGCAAGGACTCTGAAGCTTTGTCTGACATACTTTGGACATGTTGCAAGACGGGATCAATCCTTGGAGAGGGACGTCATGCTTGGGAGGGTGGAGAGACAGTGCAGGAGAGGAAGACCCTCAATGAGATGGATTGATTCCATCACTGGGGTAATGGGGCATGTTGGAGACAATAAGATTGGCAAGGGAAGGAGCAGGGTTTTGGGCTACTGTACATAGGGTCGCTATGAGTTGTAGGCAGGTCCACGCACATAACAAGAACAAACAACAATCAATATCACAGGAATGGAGTGCTGATGTCTAAGTGATAAGGAGCTGGCCTGACAACCCAGAGGCAAGTGGTTTGAATCTGCCAGATGCTCTGAGGGAGAAAGATGGGCAATCTTCTCCAGTGCCATTTATTGTCTCTGAAAACCCGCTGTGGGGGAGGGGGTCAGCTACGGGTTGGTTATGACTCGACAATACAGAACAACAACAAATATCACAAGAGCAGATTGTCTAGCTTTCTCCCTCAGAGTCACCGTTGGATTTGAACTACTAAAGAGGTGCCATTTTTGGGTTAGTAGAGCAATATCCTGTAGATTCTGCCACCAGAGTTCCTAAAGAGTAATAGGGAGCAGATATTAAGGGTTTTCAGAGGCAGTAAATCACACAGGAAGAACTTGCCGCCTTTCTCTCACAAAACTGGTGGTGGATTTGAACTGCTTGCTTAAAGGGTTGCCAGCACAACATCCTACCCACTAGGCCACCAGAGCTTCCTATCATAACAGAGAATAGTCTTTTTTCCAAAAGGAATTATGTTCACAGATAGAGGAGTTAGGATGCCAACATGTGTTTTGAGGGGACACAACGTGGGTACCACAAAGGTAAACTAATTACCTGTTGTTGTGAGTTGTCATTAGGTTGGTTTGGCCCTGTGGCGCCCCCTGTGTGTGCAGAGTGGAACTGCTGCAGAGGGTTGTCAAGGCCGTGACCTTTCAGAAGCAGATGGCCAGTTCTGTCTCCCAAGGTGCCTCTCCTGGGTTTGAACACCTAACCTATCAGCTGGTAGTTGGGCACGCAACCATTTGCACCACCCAGCGACTCCTTGGTAATAATGACAAGTACAGCACCCCTAAGAAAGAGGAATCGATGTGGGAAGTGATAGATGAAGGCCATTGGGCAGTCGAATCCCACTTCATCTGCTTTCCCTCATTCTAATTCTGTGCTTAAAAAAAAATCACCTTTGTCTCACGTGACTTCCCTTTGTAGGCTGGGAGGGCTTTGTCAATTTCTTAGGATGTAAATATTGTTCTTTGTATGTGTTACTGTAGAATAATAGATTGGAATTACGATTGTGGCATCATTTCCCATATTACGAACACCCATCAGCACTGATGGAGACTTTCAATTTCCCAGTTCTTGGATCAGTTCTTTCTCTTTATAAATTAGTAATCTGGCATTTGGTTTTGTATAGCAGTCTCATAAGCGTTATTAATGCAAGGCCTCCCCTGAGAGATGGATCCCCTGTTAAGGTGCTGATAAAATCAACACAAAACAGAGGCTTGCAAAGCTGAGGACCAGTTGGGGTAAAGAACGCAGCCAAGGGAGGCCCCTGGAGAGCCAGTCTGCCAATTAGTCCCTTGGCACCTGACAGTCCCTCTAGGCTGGGGCAGCTTTGCCTGAAAAGTTATAGCTGGAGAAAGCCAGAGTCAGCGGCAAGGCCTGGGACAATCTCTGACATTGACGCGCTCAGCCTTCATTATCGTAAAGCACCAGAAAACTGGGCGGGGTTCAGGCAGGAGAAAACCCAACTCACTTCCTCAGGGTTGCCTGCGTAGCAGTTGCTGATGTTGGGCTAGATTATTAATTGTGCATGTCATCTTGTTCCCCAGCTTTTTGTAGCAAAAGAGTTTTCAAAAAGCAGTTCAGTATGCCACAGGCAAGCTGTACATCAGACTGTAGAGCAGATCTGAGTCTGGAGGAAGCAGATGAGGAAAAATACTAGACACATACACACACAGACTAAACTGCTAAAAATCTATGTGAACAAAGTGCTCATAGTGCACGTTGTTGTTATGTGCCTGTGACTTATAGCGACCTTGTGCACAATAGCCCTAAGCCCTGCTCTGTCTTGTGCCAATCTTACTGTCTCTGACATGCCTACCCCTATTACCCCAGTCACTGAATCACTCCACCTCATAGGGGGTCTTCCTCTTCTGCGCTGTCCCTCCACCCTCCCACTCACGATGTCCTTCTCCAAGGACTGGTCCCTCCTTGCAACATGTCCAAAGTACGTCAGACGAAGCCTCAGAATCCTTGCCTCCAAAGAACAGCCTGGTTTAACCCTCTCTAGGATGAACCTGTTCCAACCAGTGCAAATAGAAAACAAAAAAAGAAAAAAAATCTATGTGAAGATCACAAAGAACATATCAGAAAATCCTACTGGCATGTGGCTGCTTCATATTTCCTTTCAAGGAGGAAGGTCTATCCCTTTGGGATGTAATTTTCTAATAAATCTATCATTTTTTACCTTTAAAAAAACCAGAAAATCCAAAGTGGCTGTGAAATAAAAAAAAAAAAAAATTAAACCGTGATCGTGTATTCACGAAGAAAATAGTAAAATGTTTGATAACAGAAATGAAAAGGTGTTTAATAAAACCTACTATTTATTTCCACTAAAATGGAATTTGTAATAGCCTGTGACTGAAAAGGAAATTTACTCCACGTCAACAATTAAAAGAACACTTAGACACCAATCTGGAAAAAGAAGTGCACTACAAAGTGGACTGGGGGAGGGGAGAAGGGGAGAGAGAAGAAAAATGTGCAACAATGAACAAATAAAAATGTTTTCAAAGGAGAGAAAAAATAAAATTTAATATGATAAACTGGAATAATTTTATTAAAGTAACCAGAAGACAAGAAGACCCATGATCAGCGTCACCAATTGAAATTGTTCTAGGATTGTTAATGCACACAAAAACATTTTCTTTATTTCTTTTTTAAATTATTATTATTAATTTTAATGAAAATTTACAGAGACTTTGTATTTCCATTAGTTCATTGTTGCATTTTTCTCCCTGTCAACCCCTCTCCCTCTCCAGTTCGTTCTTCTCTTTGAAAAGGAAAAGAATGGTTCGAATCCACCAGATGCTCTGCCGGGGAAGGAGGGGCAATCTCCTCCTGTACCAGTCAGATCTGATTTGACGGTACACGCACACAAAAAATTGAAAAAAAATAAAAAATAAAAATTAAAAAAAAAAGAAAAGGAAAAGAAAAATTCTTTCATTGTCTACAATCCCTTCCCCCAAGTCCACTCTACTATTCAGCCTTCGTTCTGGACTCCTGTCATGACAATGATATTTAGTCACATATCCCTTTTAAAGAGTTCTCTCCCTCATCTGTTTCAATGCAGTGTATATAATTTATCCCATCTTTCTCAGTCTCCCCTCAACCCTGATGTCAGTCCCATTAACTTTAAGATAGGAATACTAGATCATGTTTTGAAGGACCCACAAAAACACCTTTACATATATAATCAAATGAAACAATTAGAACTAAGAATAAAGTGCAATAAAAGGACCAGATGCAAAATGAATATATAATGCTATATTATGCCAATGCACCAATGACTGGTTAATGAAAGAAATAAAATTTTTAAAAAATGACTCATTCACAAAAAAATTAAGACACAAATGATGTAGAAATAAACATAAGATGTAAAAGATCTATGTGAGGGAATGACAAGTTCCTTGTGGGTATAAAATAAGAAACTTAAAGTATTTTTAAATGTCAAGAGTGAGAAATTTTTGCAAATTAAATAGAAGATTTAAAATAATGCAGCTATAAACAAAAAATAATAAAATAATGCAGCTTAGTGTATTAATCACCCAGAGACTTGTTATCACCCAGCTGACCCTAATTATACCCTGGGCTTTTGGGACTTGATAAAATCATGCTACGAGTCCTTATCTGGGATTTGGAAAATAAGCTCCCAGAGGTCACAGCATCATTTGTTCTGTGAGTTTAGTTCCTAACTAAAGAAGAAATAAGTCAGATATATTGAAGAGCCCTGCTGGTTTAATCATAAGGAGTTGTACTACCAGTCGAAAAGCATGCAGTTCGAATCCACTCAGAGGGAGAAAGATGGACAATCTTCTGTACAGTCTATTGCCTCTGAAAACCTACTAGAAGGTCAGCTATGAATTGGTTCCAACTGGAATTGGAATGGTCAACTGGGCTCAAACTCAGGCTTCTTGGGACGGAGTGTATTAACCAGGAAGCGTAGTATGCACCTGTTTGCTGTAAGCTAAGTGTACATGGACTCAGCTGTGCCAAAGGCAGGACAAATTGTGCCCTATGAATTAATAAATAAACGGCTAAGTCCTCGCCTATCGTGCTGATGGGGTGATCCATCCCTACTGGAATCACTGGACACGAACCAGTGAGGCTGTGTTGGTGACCCTGATTCACCGCGGTCCCCCTCCCACAGGTCGGGCACCACATACCTTGGCCATCAGCATCCTGCAGGCATAGAGTCGCTTGCCTTTTCCTTTTCCCAAGGCTCCTTCATACTTTTCCACAAACGCTTGGGCCTCCCTGGTTAGGAGAGAATAAAAAAAAAGAAGGTAGAAATGCAATTAATACTTAATCAAAAGCAATTTGAACTATGAGGGTCCCTTATGACTAAAAGGCTTGAGTAATTTTTATACCCATATTGTTAGTGCTAGGTGCTCACAGCAATCCTATGAACAGCAGATCTGAATCCTGTTCTGACTTGTGCGTTTCTCACAATCTCTGACCCACGCAAGTCCTTTGATGCAGTCACTGTACCAATCCACCTAGTAGAGGGTTTTCTCCTTTGCTGTCCCTCCACCTTTGCGCCTAGTGGTAAGGAGCTGTGCTGCCAACATGAAGGTATGTGGTTTGAATCCACCAGCTGTGCTGCAGGAGAAATATAGGTAGTCTCCTCCTGCGTGATTTACTGCCTCTGAAAACCTGCTGGAGGGTCAGCTGTGCCTTGGTTCAACTTGAAAGTCCGTAACAACAACTATTTATTTACTAGTTGCACCTTGTGTGCTGGGCATTTTACTGCAATATCTTCATTCCATTAGAACAACCCTGAGAAGTGGACAAAGAAAGGGAGGCTCAGAAAGGTAAAGGGAAGGAAAATAGCCCTGGAGGGAGTAAATAGCTAGTTAAGAACACTGGAAGTGGAAGAGGGGTGAACTCTGGTTTCTGCAATCTGTTGTCATTGTACCCGCCATCTTGGAATATCTACAACTATTCCTAAGCCTGACTGGGCTCCAGACCAGCATCCACACACCAGTGCTTCCAACAGAGATGATATGTTCTGGGGATGTTCTTTGTGGTTAGAGACTCCTTGCAGGACAGAAATTCATGCCACAGCCAAAGGTACCATTCTAGCTGTCTAGTAATTCTGGAGAAGTGATTACACCTTGGGTTGACGGCACAACTCTTTCCCACCAGGCCACCAGAGCTTCTTAAAGCAGACATAGTTTGGTGAAAAAGAACTGACAGTCAAATGCGTACTGTCGAATTGGAACTTACCCATAACTGATCCTCCAGTGGGTTTTCAGAGGCAATTAATCACAAGAGAGGAGATTGCCCATCTTTCTCCCACAGAGCAGCTGGTGGATTTGAACCAAACGCCTTTGGGATTGTAGCACAAGTTTTTAGCACCATTTCACCAGAGCACCCTTGCTGACAGTCAAATGAGGGGACTTGGGGATCAAGAGGCAATGAGTAACTCATCCTGAAAGTGGACAGGAGTGGGGGTTTCCTGCACAGAGGTTGTCTAAGGTACGACAGTACACAATGTGCCCTGGGTACCACTTGAATGGAGCCCACTGAGTGGATCTCTAATAACCAAGAAAGACCCAATGTTCTTCTTCAAGCTTGGTAGACACAGAGGCATGAGGTGGAGGGGAGGAGAAAGCACAGAGGAGCACTTGTTCCAGATACAAGTCCCAAGACCATTCCTAGTTTCCATATATACAAAAAGGTGCTTGATTGAGGCACTGGGACAAGAACAGGGGAAGGTATTTCTGCTGATTCTGAGCTGCTCTAAACGTCTATTCATCTTGAAATGGAGAGAAAGGTGGGAAAACAATTTAGAGATTGCCCTCAGGCACTGGAATTGTGACTAGAGTTTAATTTAAGGATTTACTCTAAACTCAGCTACTCTTGGCTAAGCTCTTGAAGGACACAACTTCAGTGTTTGGCAAAGGTGTTGTTCTACATATATGTACTTCTGATTCCAACAATGATAGAGTTGAGAGGGGAAAAAACCCACAATAGGCAACCTTTCATTGTGCAAAAGTCATTATGAACTTTCAGAGTCAACTTGATGACAGCTAATAAGAACAACTGGTATTAGCAAGGTGAGTCGAAAGAAATTAAAGAACTTCTAAGCGGAGGCCCCTCTCGAGGGAAGCTCTATACCCAAGAACCTCAGACCGAGAGTCTTTGTGGAGGAGGGAAGAGCAGGAGAGGAAGATGGAGAGGCAGCCAGGGAGGTGAGACTCAAGAGGGAGGGACTGGGCTCTTTAGCTTTCAACCTTGGACAGGCAGTGCCCACCCTCCTAGGGCAGGAACCCTCTCCTGGGAGAAAGGAAGAGGACTCGTCAGATTTCTCTCTGGGCAGCCCAACAGTCACTGGTTGGGAGGGAATTCCACTGTCCCTGTGACTTCCAGCCAGCTGGAGATCTCATTTCCATAAGCCTCGAGGTTACACTTTTTTCCACTGTTAATAAAAGATGTGTTCAGGTGACACCTGAGTGAGAATGAACTTCAGTTAAGTGACAGCTGGCTGTTGGGAGAACCTGGCCCTGAGGAAGAGGGGGGAGGCGACTAAGAAGGAAGAGGCTGGGAAGGGGAGGCGGCCCATTGCAGCAGCTAGGCACATTCCACTATCTAAATTAAACAGATGAAAAGAAACCTTAATGTTTCAGAGGCCACTGAGATGATGATGTTACTGGAGGTAGAATGATTTGGAATAAGATTAAGAGAATGGTTACACCCCTTGAAGAGTGTAATCTGTGTTAAGGAATCATACATGAGGAAATCGTTGAGATGCACATGCTTTGTTATGTATATTTTCACCATCATAAAATTTAAGAAAAAGAAGAGACAAGTGATGTAAGTATTTGTGCTGGTGGCGGGGGAAGGTGTTTGTTAATATTCACAGAATGATATTTGTCTAGTATCAGTACAAGCTGGGCCCTGGGTTGTTCACAGGGGACCTAAGATTAGTTAAGACCGATTTTCTCCTTGTTGTCCTCATTGTGCAAACCATTACAAATAAGAGTAAGTGACAAACACAGAGGCACTTGAAAAACAGGGAGAGATCAGGGCTTGTTGAGGAGGGAGGTCGTACGTAGGACGTTGCCTTCAGGAAGGGATGTTTGCACGGGGTTGTGGAGAAGATATATAAGCAACTTGATGAGCAGGCCAGGTAATAGGTGGTTCGGGTGGCACCAGGTCATTATCCCTCCTGAAGCTTTGCCCTGTGCTGGCAGTCAGCAGGGCTTCATGAACAGTCTAGATCTTCCTGTCTTGTCTCTAACATTGTTCTCCTCAGAGCTGATAACACACAGTGGAGGTAGGGAGCAGACCAAAGGGAAGTGGGAAGCAAATCTCCCTGTTAAGCCCCTGGGGAACAAGGAGAAGGAAGGAATTCTCATTCCCTTCTGAAGAACTTGGACCTTTGGACATCCTAGGCCCTGCTGGTGTAGAGAGGCCGTGCTCAACCAGTCTCCTCACCTGAGCTCTGCTAGCTTCTTTGCCATGGGCCAGGGCTTATTCCTCATGGTAGCGATAAGCTTCTTCTTTTCTTCCACCTGCTCTAGGATCCGGGTCAGTTCCTCTTCAGACAGAGACTCTGCATCAGAGGCATTGGAAGCCATGGAAGATGACCTAGAGATGAGGCCAGGGAAGACGCAGAAGAGATTTGAGGAGGAAGAGCAAAGGCTATGATACTTGAAAGCTAACCAGAAAGCCAGCAACTTTCCTAATTATTGAGTTTTTCTTCTCTGCTAGGAATTCACTGCGAGGTGCTCCGGAAGGAAGACCAAGTGACCTACCTGAAAAAAGTCAATCTTTGAAAGTCCTGTGGATCACACAGGTCCAGTCTGATACCCGTGGGGATGCCATAGGCTGTCTATTCTTATGATTATTGATGCTCCTGTCATCCCTCCTGCTAGATTGATTTGTCAGCGTCTGGGGATCAAGGATTAGCTCTTCCACATCTCTCGGATCTGCCTTGACATGCAGCAAATACTTGCTGAAAGACGTGTAAATGGGCCTTTTTCTAGATGCCTAGCTTTCTGTCTATGTGTCGTAGTCAACTCTAACAGTACTCGCCACTTGACAACAACAATAACAACAACTTTCCATCTGCCATCCAGGCATCCTTGATGCATTTAGGATGGTGTAACTTTTTTTTTTAATTGTTATTAATTTTAATGAACATTTACAGAGATTTTGGATTTCCATTCATTGTTGCACTTTTCTCCCTGCCCACCCCTCCCCTCCAGTTTGCTCCTCTCTTTGAAAAGAAATAAGAAAAATCCCTCCATTGGTATACAATACTCCCATGCCCCCCTACCCCCTGCCCCCAGTACACTTCACTATGTAACCTTAATTCTGCACTCTTGTGATAACCATAATAACCCAATCATATATCGCCTTTAATCTGTTCTTTCCCTCATCTGTTTCAATACAGTATGCATAATTTATCCAGTTTTTTCTCAGTCTTACCCCAACCCTGATGTCAGTCCCGTTTTACAACAGTGGCACTATGCAGTATTTGTCCTTTTGTGACTGAGGTGTTTCACTCAGCATAATGTCCTCCAGGGTTACCCATTTTGAATAATATTGCATGACTTCCTTGTTTTTCAATGCAGTGTAGTATTCCATTGTGTGACTATACCACAGCTTCTCTATCCATTTGTTTTTTGATGGGCACTTAGGTTACTTCCAACTCCTTGCTATTGTGACAAAGCTGCAATAAACATGGCTGTGCATATATCTGCTTGGATGTTAGTTATGGTCTCTCTGGGGTATATTCCCAGTAATGGAATTGCTGGGTCAAATGGTATTTCTATTTGCAACTTTTTGAGAAAGCGCCACACCACTTTCCACAGGGGTTAGGTTGGTGCAACTTTTAAAATTCAGGACACCCCAGGCCCATCACTGGAGCACTCAAGTTCTCTTGTGGTTACTAAGGCCACTACTAATTCTTTACACTTTTTGCTCATGTTCAAAGCAACCAGGGTATGGGGGCCAGGGCAGAAGCCTTATTGGAGCCAGGCGTGATTGGCAGGGACAACAAAAGAAGATAGGGGCTCCTTTTGAGGGCCTAGGTCACCTCCCTGTAAAAGTGGACAGGTATAGGGGTACACCCACTCAATTAACTCTGTAAAGATGGAGAGACAGTGGCACGCATGAGAACAGGCATCACACAGATGGTCTGGTGTGTTAGAACTCACAAGGAAGGGGCATTGGCTCTTTATCATAATCTCTATACCTCCAGCTGCTTCAAAACATCCCCACAGAGAAAAGACCAGAGAATGGCCAAAATTATTGGGGCAGCTATTGCTGCCAGTTTAGGGCCTGTGTCAGGAAAAGGAAGTCTTACTCATATACAATGCC